CGAAGGGCTCCTCGGGCGGGGCTGGTCCGGTCCGGTCCAGAGCCGGGGCAGCCGGGAGGCGAGCAGGAGCGAAGGAACCTGGTGCCGGGGGGGAGGAGGGAGGCTGCCGAGGGGCACAGAGAAGGGGGTCTGCAGTGGGGTGGCTGTGGTGGCTGGCAGTGGTTTGTACTGCCTTCCGCTGGGTGTTGAAGGGCAGCACCGGGCGGGGCCTGTGGCCACACAGCTCTCCAGAGCAGGAGGAGACATGCTGACCTGTGGCGTTGTGGACAGAGAACGCTGGGGAGGGGCGTCTCCCAGGGTGGATGTCCATGAGTGGGTTTCAGTGACTGTTCAGTGTAGGTGGCCTAGGAGGCAGCCCTGGCATCCTGTGTAGAATTTGGCAAAGCGATGGCACGGCTGTATTTGAGTTTCTTTTACACAACAGTGGAGAAGGGCTGTTATATTTGTCAATGTGACTTTTTCACATTAGGGACCAATCCTGTCACTGGGATACAAAAACTGTTTCAATTTAACACTAAAAAGATGTTTGTCAGAAATGAAATGTATTTTTGTAACCACTGGTGTGTTTTTAGTTATGTGGATTCCTGGGATGATTCTGCTGAAATAACATCACTTGAATAAATAGAAGATTGCCAGGAAAAAAAGAATCATAATCAATTTGCAAATACCTAAATACTATTTTATTATAATTCTTTATTGGAGCCTGATGGTTGGCTGTTTGACCTTTGGTAGAAGGAGAGTACTTTTTCAAACACTTAAAACCCTGCAGTAAAATGAGAGGACTCCTGTAATGGATGTAGAGACTGAAATGGACAGAGTAGGAAAGCAGAGAAATGGGGCTTTTGGGAAGGGATGGTGGTAAGGTCTGGTCTGTGAGCAAATGATGATGAAGGACTTGTATTTTCCTCCTAACGAGGTATGTTTGTTCATGGAAGGAGGAGGTTTGTCTGTCATATGAAGAAGGCATCTGTGAAAGATGAAGAGGAGCTGAAGGAGAGTACAAGAGCTCCATCCTGGTTTGGGATTATGTTACTACACTATTTTCCTTCTAACGAGGTATGTTTTTTCGTGGAAGGAGAAGGAGGAGGTTTGTCTGTCGTATGAAGAAGGCATCTGTGAAAGATGAAGAGGAGCTGAAGGAGAGTACAAGAGCTCCATCCTGGTTTGGGATTATGTTACTACACAGTACTCTGGCCAGGGGTAGTACAGGCTCACTTTTCACCTTGGTCCCACGAAACTGATCACTTTTCTGTTGGCAAGACCAAAGCATGTAGTGTGGCTGAGTTGCTTGTTACAGCATGGTTGTTAGATGGTAGGGAGCTGTGTTTGCTGCTGGGGAGCGTGACTTCTTTTCCCTTTTTCACTTGGAGCAGGGCTTGTGTCCAAATTTACTGTGTAGCATATAGGAATGGTAAGATGGCCAGGATCTTGGAAGGCTGCTGTGAAACGTATCTTGGCATGAAAATATTGCTCAGTTGTTTGTTTACTGTATCTTTGCAGTATAAACTGTTAATAAGTACTTTGGTTTGTTTGTTATTCTCTGTATTTTTTAAAATCACAATTATGTCTTCCATTAATTTGCTTTCATATTATTTCATTTAATAAATCATTTTAAGAACAGTCTTGCTTCCATACTGCAAGAAGAAGTTATTCCTTGGTGGATTGTGCGTACCTACGGAAGTGTTCTGTCTTCATCGATGTGATGCATTTTGTACAGTACAGGCCTGAAACCACTGCAGCTCACCCTGTGCATCACCGTGTACATGCACACATGCTTTGCTGAATGAGGTTGGGAACATTAATGTCATGAAGTTCTTGTCCGCATTGGAGGTAGATTTTGCCTTTTTCCACCTGCATCCTTTGGATTCGGGCTTATGAGACGTTTAATATCAGACTTTTAAAAAGGAATTTGCATGTGACTTTTCTTGGGAATAGAAGATACAAGAATTATTTTGTGTAATATTTAAGTGATGAAACCAAGATTAAGTTCTGTATTGTAAAGCAAATTACAATGTTGTTTTTATAGCAGGAGCTACATAAACAAAACTACCCTTGTTTGTAGCAAAAAGAACTCTAAGCAACAAACGCTAATGTTTACAAAAGAGAGAAAACAAAAAAGGATCAGCAAAACAAGAAGCAAACTCTATCTAGGATGAGAAAAGAAGCATAAAGTGGTGCTCTCTAAAATAAAAAGAATGTGAGCTGTGCTGCTGCAGTAGTAGAGCCTCAAAAGACAACATGCAAAAGCAGTCAGCAGGAGGGGAGAGCAGCCAAGGTGTGCTTCTCCCTTGTTCTCCCTGACACCTTCACTCCTCTGACAGTCTTGAAAATGCTCTTCAGAGCAGAAAATGCTGACAGAGAGCAGTTTGTAGTAGTGGCAACTCAGCACAGCTGCCCCAGGTTCTTAAAGGAACTTAAAAGAAGTTCCTTGTGAGCCCTTCTTACACCCATGTTGCTCCAAGGGGCTTGTGGAGAGCAACTGGAAATGGGGTTCAGGCCTGTCCTGAACCTGAGTGTGGTGGCAGTTTCATTACAGTCTGAGTTACACTCATTTAAAATGGGTCTTTCTTAAGCTTTATCCTCCAACAGCTGTGAGTAATCTCCATATTAGGTGTGTCAGGAGTCTAATGGGTCTGATTCACCTTTTCTTTAAATGTGGGGTAAATTGGGAGTGACTGCTAGAAGGCACAAAAGATTCCATGTGAAAAATTTCTTCTTACTGAGATAAGACAGACAGGTGTTTGAAGAAACCTAGATATTTTAAAAAGTATTGTGAAGAATGTTTTGATACAGTTTTATGAAATATGCTTAACTGTGCAATATGTAATGGTTATTGTCACGGTGATGATTGCACTCATCCTGACAGCATGTGTTTTTACAAAGGTGTGGGGAAAATGCTGGTGAATGAACAGTCAAGTCCGCCACTGGCTCAGAAGCTCTGTCTGGATTATTGACCTGTGCTGTGGGAACCCCCTCTTGTACTCACTGGTATGCACTACTGCCTTGCAGAAAGGACTCGTGAGTTTTTCCAAAGGTGACCTATTTGAGGGCCTATAGCTTGATTTAAAAACTAGTTTATCTTTAAAAATCCGGTCCTAAATCCAACATTTTGAGGAAGTTTCAACATGTACATTTTTCCAAAAGATCCAGCATCCTGGGAGCCTTCTAAGTGCAGAAATGCTACAAAGTTAGCTCTGAAAAAGGAAAAAAAAAAAATATAAAGTCACTTTGGGAAAGCTGTTTTCAGTGTGGTGGTGGGACAGGTGGAGGTCAGGCCAGAACTCCTGTAATCTGACTTGGGACACTTACTGTGTAGCCCTGTTGGATGTGCAGCAGGGATGTGCAGCATCCAATTTGAACCCTTTGGATTGTATTGCTGTTAATTTTAGCAAAATTTGAACGATTGCAGTAAGCTGGTGTTCAGTAGAGGTGGAGCTGACTCGCTAAGCTGAAAAAGAATGTTTGTAGCATGGAAGAAAGCTTGGGTTTATACGTATTGAGCACGGAAATGCTTGTGGAGGCAGGAAGCTTCAGCCTTCAGGTAATGGCTCTAAAAGTTACTGAGTTTTGAGGTAGGGAGGTTCCATTGTAATTCAGAATCAAAGGCCACTTTCCACAGACTTGTCATTCACCTTTCTTTTTTTTTTCCTAGCTGCAGTGGTGGATAGCGGGGAGAAGAGGACATGGGTAACAGCATGAATCACTGATGAGATGCGATTTATGAGCGCCTTCAATACCGTCAGCTGGGGCCGAAGGCTCTCAGAGCAATGCTGGACTGGCCCGCCTGGTGGCAAACTGCTTTCACTGGAAGTGCCTTTCTGTTTAGGAGGTTTGAGAACAACAAACGTGCTCACTGGGATTTCAGACTGTAATCTCATCTCTGTGCATTTTCAAGTTTTTGGGGACCTGCTCATCCCTCTCGAATAGCAATGTTTCCTCCATCAGATACTGTCTTAACAAATGTGGAGTTTGTGCTGCGGAGATAGCGCCTGTGTCTCAAACTTCACAGAGTTTCTGGGGGGTTCTTCATCTTTCTCCCTGTAGTCCCAGAACTGCAGAAATCAATATTCTGCCATCTGTAAATCCTTTGTTCCCCTTTTCACCAGGGCTTTATCGCTTTGTAAGTGAAGGAGGGAGGGGGGGAAGAGGGCGTTGAGAGCGCCATTGTCCCTTCTCTGGGGAATGATCTGGAAGTACTATGCAAATCTTCATTTGAAGACC